TACTAGCAGACTATGAGTGGCACATGCTTCTTGCCTTCCCTAATTCAGCTATACTGTTTTACATCAGGAGTCAGACCGAAGCCATGTACAACTCAAATGGGTATGTGAGCTAGCAGAGTTGAGCCAGTGTTGCTCCTTTGCTAATGGCTGCCACTGAAACCTAAGTCCTGGTCTAAAGAGGCAGGGCCCTGCTGAATTACATGCAGCTGAGGTCAGCGTGACCCCAATTAAAATCCTTTCCCCTGAACTATCACTTCTCACTGATCTCGTGGGTTGCTTGCTGATTGTGCCTGGTCTCAGTACCAGTTTCTTCTATCCTAGCGAGATAAGCAGTGCTAACTCCCTGACAGCCCTGCTTGGCAACATCGTGCCAGGTGTTCAGCAGTTCACTAAATGACTTCAAAACTCCCTAGCTCCCTATTCCTTCTCACAATTGCATTCAATAAATGCTGGATGCACTTGGGGGCTTTGCTGCCATCAGCAGCACTGACCAGGACCCAAGACTCTGCTTCACTATAAGTCTCGTTCATCTGTTCTTAAAATTTAGTCAGTGCAGCCAGGCATGGTGGTGCGCACCTGTAATCCCAGCACTCGGGAGGCTGAGGCAGGAGGATCGCTGTGAGTTCAAGACCAGCCTGAGTTACATAGTGAGTTCCAGGTCAGTCTCAACTACATAGTGAGACCCTGTCTCAAAAAAACCAAAACATAAAATAAAATAAAATTTAGTCGGTGCTGTGGTGGCTTAGAAGAGGCTGGTACCTACTGCAAGGGTCTCCAAGTCTCTCAACCATAGTGAGACCCTGTCTCAAAAAAACCAAAACATAAAATAAAATAAAATTTAGTCGGTGCTGTGGTGGCTTAGAAGAGGCTGGTACCTACTGCAAGGGTCTCCAGTGATGTCCATGTCCCCTGACTCTTACAATAGTGAGAAGGGCTTCTTTTAAATGTAGGAAAGAATAATGAGTAGTGGACAGTAGAACAGAGGACAGAAGCATACATGGGTTTGCCACTACAGGATCTATGGGAAGGACAATCTGATTAATGGCATGGAGGTGCAGTACTAGTTGATAGAAGCCATTTGCCTTGCGAATGGAGAGAATGGTGTTAGTGTAAGGGGAGTGAGTCGGAATTAGGAGGCTGTAGCAGGTGGGAGATAATTGGTTTTTAAACCTCTCAGAGCATGATCAGGAATAGAATACAGATGCTGTGCAGGGTAGGAATGATCCAGTTTTAGCAAATGACGAGAGGGGTCTGGTAAGTGCCACAGAGGGGGAAGAGATAGTCCACATCTTAGGATCAAGGTCAGGGGAAATAATGGGAGCTGGGGTACCAACCAAACAAGCAAAAATGACTGCAGTGAAAAAGGCAGGCTGTCCACCAGGAATGGTCAAAGTAGCAGGCAATTTTGTAAGAATATCTCATCCAAGGAGAAGGACAGGGCAGGTGGGGATAGCCAGGAAAAAATAGGGAAAGGACTGTTGACCTTTTAAGGGTCTGGAAATTTTGCCATTAATCCCCACAACAGTAGTTGGAGCCAGAGAGACTGGCCCTCAGGAAGAGGCTAGGTGGAACAGGTGGCCCAGGAAAGGATTATAAATGAAATGGACTTACCCTCCACCATAAGAGTTCCCCGAAGCTTGGTGTCTGAGATGGTCCATGGGGCCTCTAGAGCCACAGGGCATTGTCAATCTTCTGCCACCAGTCAGAGAAGGTCTAGGAGAGTGCTGGCTGGGGGACCCTGGAAGTGAGCTCCTTTAGCAGAGGGCAGTCCAACTTCCAATGTGGGCTCTGGCACAAGGGGCATGGCTTAGAAGGAATCCCCAGCTGGCAGCATTCCTTGGCGCAGTGTGAAAGCTAGTGACATGTGAAACATGGCCCTAGAGAAACCTCCTTGGGCAAGGAAACATTCAGAACTCCCTTGTATGTCTGCTGACCTTTTAAGTTGGCCTTTGGGTTTCTTATAGCAGGGACAAGCAGCTGGTATTCAGAAATATGCTGTAAAGCTTGATGTATTAATTTCTGTTGGGGAGTTTGAGGACCTGCCTCTAATTTTTGTAACTTTTTACAAATATCTTGACCTGAAATAGAAAATATATCTTCAAAATGAGTTGGACTTCTGGGCCCTTCAGATCTAAAGCTGTAAAGCACCAGAGGGCAGCAGCCACACAGGACATGAACTGAGCCAGATTCTCATCTTTCCCTTGAGTGGTCTCCTTTAGTTTATCATAATTGACTGCCTTATGTGCTTCTCTTCATACTCCTTCAACTAAACAAGTAATCATATAGCTGTGATAGTTCCTAGCTGGACACTATCCCTGTACATCTATCTGGTCAAAATTCTAATTTGGGTTAGCCCAGGGAATAGGCACAGTGCCCTCCTGATTAGGCATCTGCTTGTCTATATAAGCCTGAGCCAGGGACCAAACATGTTCCTGCTCCTTGGGTGAGAGGGTTGAAGAAAGGATGACACTTATGTCTTCCCATGTAAAGTCATAAGATTGAGGGAGATATTGAAATTCTTGAGCATATTTACTGGGGGTCTGTAAAGAAGGAGCCCAGGCACTGATTAATCTGAGAAAGTTCAAGCAGAGAAAAAGGGACATGAACTCAGACTATTACTTTTACCCCCACCACCTCCCAAAGCAGAAACTGAGGGACAGGGGTAGGGAAAAATTATCAAAATGCAGTCTGAACCTAGTGTGACAGGATACTGGAATGATCTTGTTAGATAAGGGTTGTGCTCCAAGGGAAGTGTCCGATCAATGGAGGTAATAGGGGCAAGGAAAAGGAAGCTACAGCAGGAGGTCCAGAAAGGAGCTGAGTAGCTACAAGGGCTACAGCCTAAGGGGGAGGCGGCTGCAGTCAGAGAAGGGAGGAGGAGGGAAGGAGAAGCCAAATAAGGAAAGAAGAATGAGCTGAGATGGATCACAGGAAGAGAATAGAGAAAGAAGGCTGTGTAATGTGTAGAAAGCCTGGGTATAAGGCACATCAGACCATTTACCCAACTGCCAGAATATTTATCTAGACATCACAGAACAGATAAATCAAAAGTACCATTTTCTGCCCATTGTGAACCACTGTCCAATTTGTACAGCAGTCAAACTGTATTACAGAAAAAGATAAACATTGGGCTTCCAATCAGGAGAGAGAGAAGCTTGATATTGTGGAGAAGACAGGCCAAGGGGGTAGAGGGAAACACAGAAGATGCAAAGTTCCTGATGAGCCACAGAGAAGGGTACAGGAGAACAGCTAGGTGATCTAGTGGATGTCTCTAAGCAGATCTCAAAGCTGTAAACTGTGAGTGAAAGACCAAACCAAAGGTCTTCATTTTTGATCAGATGCCAGAGGGAAGTGATCTTTCTGGCAGAGCTCTTTATACTAGAGTTTAACATCAAAAAGAAGCAGACAAAGCTTCTCTGTCAGTGGGAAGAGTTAAGAGACAGGCAAAGGCAAAGAGGGGAAGAAAAGGAGCAGGGCTTGAAGGAGTGGAAATGAAGCAGGAGGGAGAGCTTAGGAAAGAAAAAGCAGGCCTGCCCCATCTGAAGTGCCTGGTGAGACCTTGCAAGGCAAGAGCTATAGACTCTGGGTCTAGGAGCAGCTGTCACTGGGTGGTCTCAGCAGAATGGAGGTTCAGGAAAGGGTCAAGGGCCTCCCCAAAGAGGGCCTTTGCCTTTCTCTCCTCCTGGGTTTCTGGCAACAAATGCAACAAATGGCACAGAGGAATGAGACTACCTGGAGTAGGCTAGTGAAAGCAAAGAGGTACAGACTTTATTCACCTAGGCAGAGGTGGACTGACAGCAAGTAAGAAAAGGCAGAAAGTTATATCGGGCATTGGGAGAGGTCCGGCATGTCTATTATGGATAGGGGTCAGAACAAGTATCTGTGATTGGGGTCCATGCAGTGGTCAAAACAGACATAAGGATATTTTTAGATAACTTGGCATTGAAAAGTGCTGTACTTTGTAGCTGTTATCTCTATGTTGGGAACATCTCATCCTGTGTTGTGTTCTATCTGCTCCAAGATAGCACAGCTTTTGTCAGGCAAAGACAGCATCTGTATCAGACAACTGCCTGTTTTGTTGGGTTTTTTTTTTTTTTTTTTTTTTGTATCTTGTCAAAATGTAGCTTGAAATTAAAAAGCATATTCATTAACTATTTCACAACCAGGTCAAGCTTGATAATAGTAATTCATATTTCATTTCTGGTATTTCCTGTATCATTCAGAGCTCTCTGCTTTGGTTGCAGTTACCCTTGGATAACTCTCTAAATTGTCAAACTCCTCCAAACCAGAGCTCCCCATGGAGGAATTCACACCATGCCCAGGATAGGCAAGGCCAGCACTTCCAGTTCCAACACCCCAAACTCATTCATCAGGATCTTGAGATCCTACTCAACTCTGCCCACTCTACTGACAAAGGAAGTGAAACTACTGTTAGGAAATTGATCATGTTAAAGTATTTTGTGACACTGCCATTTGGGGCTGGACTTCTGGGTTCTTCTACCCTCAAACCCCTGTGTTAAGTTCCCTTTCCCCCAAGATCACATCAGCATATAGAAGTGACACTTAGAGCTTCCCCAAGGTGCAAATTTCAAAGAGCAACATGGCTTGCCTTAGGATAAGAATGGCCTGTCCCACCCTAATAAGGAAGTCATTAGCTAAATGAGCCAACACTTCCTCTCTCTCCCTCTCCCTCCCTCCCTCCCTCCCTCCCTCCCTCTCTCTCTCTCTCTCTCTCTCTGTCTGTCTCTTTCTCTGTTCTGCTCTTCTCTCTTCCTCTTCTTCTTCCTCTTCTGCCCTCCTGAATAAAATCTCCAGTTGGACCTCTCGGTGTATGTGGCCTAGTTGTTGAGCATCACTATTCCCTTTCAACTACCATTACAAATGAAGAAACACAGTAACCCTACTCTCCTGGAACAGTGTCGGAGGCACAATTTCTGAAGTTTCTCTGCCCAGAAAAAAGGTATTTCCTGCTGTATAACAAGGAGAGCAGTCCAATATACCTGGGACCTGGCAATCGGCACCACAGCTTCCATGCCTGCCTCGTTCTCAGTGACACTTTCTCAAGTAACAGGAGAATGCTGAAAAGCAAAGTAGAAGAAAAAAACACAAGTTACATAAATTGCACTTTCACCCCTTAAATCTCTGGCATCCCTGCTAAATTTCATTTGGAACTGAATGGAATTTGGAACTGGAGGCCATTATAAATTCTCCTTAAAGTAAAAATAAACAACAAAATTTGACCTAACATCTTCACTGCATATGTAAGAAATGTATTTTCTCCAGCTGGTCAAAGGAAGCCAGAACCTTGAAGTACATGTAGAACACGAAGACCCTCCACCAGCTTGAGGATGGAAGGGGCAAGTGACAAGGATGGGGATTATTCCTGAAGCCCAGCCACTCAGGTAGGAAGCACTAGAGAAGAGACAGGAAAGGGAATCTGCCCGGGGCAAGCATACATGAATTTTCCCAAGCCTCCAGGCCAGAACTCAGTTCCAAGTGCACCGTGAAGTCTGCCTCTGGACTCTGGGAGGTTTCAGACTTATACAGCTGGGAGCTAACTGTGCTAAATGAAGTTGCTACACTGTGAAAATTTGTTAGAAGTGGAACACAAAAGGAGCCCAGTCCATTTTCTTTTTAAAAGAATTGTGATGTTATGTAAGTATACCAACTTCCCACAATAAATGTAACCATTTTATACCACATGCAAAATAAAAATTTTAAATTGTTTAAAGATAATTTAAATATTGAGGAGATATATTTTTTAACCTATGCAGTTACCACTGACCATTTCTTTCTTACAGGCCAGTATTTCCATTTTTTTTCATTTCCTTTCTTCCTGAAGGACATTAACATTCTTGATAATGGTGGCCTCTTAGTCATAACACTTTCATCTTTTGTGTGACAATGTCTTTATTGTGCTCTTTGTTTTTTTAAATAGCTTTAGTGAAATACAATTCATATAATTTGCCCATTTAAAGTTTGTAGTTTGATAGTTTTGGTATGTTACAGAATTTTTAAACCTTGGCAAAATGTAAATAACATACAATGTGCCACTGTTAAACATACATTTCAGGGGCATTATACACAAGTTGTATAACTATCAGCATTAATTTCAAATCTTTTTTCATCATTACAAACAGAAACTCTGTAACCATTAGGCAAAAATCCCTCACCCTCTCTCCAAACCTGGTTAACCTTTCATGTTCTTTCCATCTCTAGGAATTTGCCCTTCTACACATTCCATGTAAGTGGAATCCTGGAACATCCATCCTTTTGTCTGGCTTTAGTTCACCTAGTCTGAGTCATCCAAGGTTCATCCATGATGTGGTGTGTATTAGAAGTTCAAGCCTCAGGCTGGAGATTTAGCCCAGTGGCACTTTGTCTGCTTCGCAAGCACAAGGTCCTGAGTTCAAGCCCCAGCACAAAAAAAGAACCTCAAGCCTCAATTGTATTCCATTGTGGGCATATTCCACATTTTGTTTATCCACTGTTTAGCCATTTTGCTTATCCATCTACTGATGGACAACTGGGTTGTTTCCAACTTTTAGTTATTGTGAATAATTGTTAGGGAATTGATCATGTTAAAGTATGTTGTGATGCCGCCTCGCAGGCTGCATTTTCCTGGTATATCTTGGTTCCTAAAATGACCTCATGTCCTTATTTCTGGTTTCCCTCCCCCCCAAGGCTACAGTGGTCCAGGAAAGTTGAAACCTGTGTCTACAGCACTGGGCCCATAAAAGCAATCTGGCCTGTGATAGGTTAAAAGTAGCTCACTCCTCATAAATAAGCAATAGCCCACCCCAAAACTGATAAAAGGACCTTCCTTTCTTTGTTCTCTTCTCTCTCCTTCTGCTTCTTCTTCCTCCTCTCTCTCTCTCTCTCTCTCTCTCTCTCTCTCTCTCTCTCTGCCTTCCTGCCTCCTGCTCGCCTCCCTACAATAAAGATCTCCTGCCGGACCTCTCGGTGTGTGAGTGGCCTAATTGGGAAGGGGCACCCAAAGGGGCACGCGACCCCCCTTTCATTGGTGTCAGAAGCGGGATCTGGGATTGCCAGGTCCACAGGCTAAAAGCCTGGGGCCCGAAACCCAGATTCCAGGGTGCCCCTGCTCAGCCCCCACCCGAAGTCCGTGACCATTCTCATTGCCATCTTTGCAGCCATCACCGACCTACTGATCTTCCAACCCACACCTTTTTGGGTAAGTTCCCCTTTCTGAGAAGTCCTCAGGGTAACAGGGACCCCAGACTCCAGACCACCCATAAGGACCACGTCCGGGACAAGGCCGGGGCCCAGGTCCTCTGTCCCTCAGTTTTGGCAAACCGGGTTTGCCTCCATTGAGTCTGGGACTCAACTGAACTAAGTCCGGGACTTATTTCGCATAATTTCCTATCTCGTGTAAGGGACGCCTTCACGGGAGACCAAATTTCAGCTTTCTAGACTGGGTCTAGAAAAACAGGAGTTTTATCAGAACTCTCGGAGATGTCTGGTCTTCTGATAACCTCCTGTCCTGGTGGTCATGGGCTCTGGTTTCTCTATACCTGCCGACTCTCCTTTGTGATGCTTACTCAGGAATTTGGAGGGTCTTGATTTAAAACCCAAATGGCTAATTCCCTTGTCTACTCAAATTTGGCCCCAATATAAATTAGGCAATCAAAACGTCTGGCCGCCTAATGGCTCCTTTGAATCGGGTCTGATTAGAGACCTTACAATTTGTGCGAGCGACAAGGAAAATGGTCGGAGATCCCGTATGTCCATGGTTTTTCCTATCTGGCTAGCCAATCCTCTCTTTGTTCCACCACCAAAGTCTCTCCCATACTTCTATTGTCTCAAGGTCCCCCCACAACTGACCCCCCTCCTTCCGATTCTTCAAACCAACCAGACCCGGCAGATAATCCTCCCCCGCAAAAAATCCACTCACCCCTCCTCCTACACCATCCGACTCCTCCCCTCCTCTGGAATCTCCTACCCCTCCCATTTCTTCTGACTCACCGACCACCCCACCCTATGCTCCACCTCTCACCCGCTCCAAGACACACAAGGGCCACACGATGACGCCCTTGCACAAAGTAGCCAGAGCTGAAGGAATTGTCCACGTTCATACTCCTTTTCCTATGTCTGAACTAGCTCTCATTCAGGCCAGACTTGGTTCTTTTACAGCTGATCCAACTACCTTTACAAAACAATTTCAACTTTTGACTCAATCTTATCAACTAACTTACCATGATCTTTTTGTAGTTTTAACCAATGCCTTAACTCCCGAGGAAAATAGAAGAGTGCTGGATCAGGCTTGTACACACGCAGACCAAGAACATTTAACCAACAATCACCACCCAACAGGTGCTGCTGCAGTCCCTGATCAGGACCCAGAATGGGACTACAACACAGAGGTGGGAATTGAGGCTCAAAACAGGTACATTAATTGTCTCCTTCATGGACTCTGCAGAGCCACTATGAAGTCCATTAATTATGAAAAGTTAAATGAAATCATACAGGACAAAAATGAAAATCCATCCACCTTTTTACAAAGGCTGATGGATGGCCTCTGTCAACATACCAAACTAGACCCTGAGTCTGTCGATGGCCAGAGATTAATTATGATACATTTCTTTTCTCAAAACTACCCCGACATTAGACTTAAACTAAAAAAGCTTGATCAGGGGCCCTTAACCCCTCCGACAGAGGTCCTGGCTACAGCATTCAAGGCCTACCATGGCCGAGATGACCTCAAAATTACAAAAAAATATCAATTATTAGCACAAGCTCTTAATTCGACCAGTCCACCTGCGCCACAGGGAAGAAAAACCCTACAAAAGGGCTCCCAACCACCAGGCCCCTGTTACAGGTGTAATCAGGAAGGCCACTGGACAAAGGACTGTCCTAATTCCAAGGTGCCAACTAAGCTCTGTCCCAAATATCACCAGAGGGGACATTGGGGTATAGACTGTCCCTTGGCGTCTGTCATTCGATCGTCAGCCCCACAGCTCCCCAACCTGCGGACCTGATAGGTCTGGCAACACTGAGGGACTATGAAGAGGCCCTGGCACACCTGGCCCAACGCGGATCACCGCCCAGGAGCCCAGGGTAACCTTAACTGTGGCAGGTAGGACCATTTCTTTCTTATTGGATACTGGTGCCAGCTTCTCTGCATTACGAGAATACTGGGGGCCTACCTCCCTTTCTCAGACTTCTATTGTTGGGGTAGAAGGCCAACTACAGCGCCCTCTCCAGACTCCCTTACTGTCATGCACAATTGGCAATTTTCCATTTCTTCATTCATTCCTAGTTCTCCCATCCTGCCCGGTTCCTTTATTAGGCCACAATATTTTATCTCAAATTGGAACATCCATTCATTTTTCTATGCCGAGCCCTTCCAACACTTCGACATCTTCCCTCTGCCTGATACTATCTCAAGCCCTCCAATTCTCATCTTCCCAATCCAATTGGCCAATTAGCCCCTCTCTTGTTAATCCTCAAGTGTGGGATATTCACTCTCCCTCAATAGCCAAATGTCCCCGTCAAAATTCTCCTTAAAAATCCCTCACAATTCCCTAGCTTGGCACAATATCCCCTCCCCCGCTCTAACTTAGAGGGACTAACTCCCATAGTAGATGATCTCTTACAAAAGAGACTTCTGAGACATGCCAACTCTCCCTTTAACACTCCCATTTTAACAAAAAAAAAAACTTTGTGAGTCATCATGGTCTCAGCTAAGCCAGACTTTGCCCACAGGACAACTCTAGACAAAGGAAAAGTTATCAGCCTTTGTTTTACTTACCTGATACTTTGATAATGTGGAGCCTCTTGTGCTCTAGGAGCTGTTCAAGCTTCTGCTCCATGGTAATCAGCTATTGGTAAAAACTATTTAGTTTTGGTCTTAAAACAATTGCTTGACAAATCTGCTGTTTTTCCTGTGGAAAACTTGCCTCTCAGAAAATGTGACATTGATACAGACAAATTCTGGTGTTTCCCCTTTGGAGGAAGTCTAGCTATCCCCCACCCCACTTGAGTTGCTAAGAAAGTGTAAAATAGGTGGGGACAAAAACAGGATTGCTTAGCTTTACTGTACTAGAGAGTACAAATG